ATATGTCAGTGAAGTGTATTCCCCCACGCTGGATGTGGTCCACCATGAGAGCCTTTTTGCTAATCAATAACCAATCTAGAAGCTAGGTTTTGGGCCAGGCTGGGGAGAGCCATACCTCGCTGGCATTGGCAGGGGAAGATCACTTGGCCAAAGCTGCTCATAGAAAGATGTTCTGCAAAAAAGAACCCTGATTTAGCTGGCCCCTACACCATCTTGTCCTTGCCATGGTGAGGAAGGAAATTTGGATTAAGGGTTAAAGCAGGATTATCAGGTCTCGGATTTCATCATTGGACAGTTCCATTCTAAACCTCGGATCAAACAACATGCCTAAAGAGAACTTTGTTTGCATCTGAGACATGACAACCTTGGTCAGTTGCCATTGGGAAGATGATAGAAAGCTTAAGGCAAAGTAAATACATTTAGTAAGAATATAATGGTTTCCCTCAGCCTACATATTCAACTCATCTTGGAAAAGTAGAAACTATAATATTCATCTTGAAAAGTTTAGGCAGTATGCAATGATACAACTTGTATACATTCAAACCACAAAAGAACTCATCAAAAGACAACATACCTGATTGTCTTTGTGAAATGATGGAATATCATATACAACAGTGAAAGAATTTATTTTGCAGTGAGCTCCAACTGCTGAGGCATGGCTCCCTTTCAAGATGTGGGTTCATGAAGTACTGCAATCATCCATAATCCATTAGCTATGGACCCTTCCTTTGGTTGCCACAACACAATAAAGACACTATAATAAGCTCCATCAATTAACATTATCCTCAATTCTTTACTACAATTTCATGACACCTGGCTAGGTATGATTGAAGTGAGAAATCAATTTTTTTATGACTTGGGTACGGACCAAGATTGGCTATATAAAACTACTTGGCCTAGATCGCAACTGAAGTTTGTCAAAGTGGTTTGTAAATTTTATATACAATTGTGGGATGCTCATCAGTACATGGCCCATGTTCAGCCACGCTATGCGGACTCCAAAAGAAATGGTTGTACTTTTTTTTGATTGAACCATGAAAAAAATTTAGTTAACATTGTCATAAAAAAAAAAACGAAATTTTTTTTCATAGGCTTTAGGCCAAATGAATGCTCTTTAGTAATGCCAAAATCGATCCATCCTACTGTACAATAGACTTGCTAGCCTTTAGTATCCTGACATTGCGGCTGCTAATGAGCAACATTATTTCTCTTGCTAATGCTCATTGTTTTGTTTCAATTTTCTATGTTTGGAGTGACTACTTCTCATTTTGAATTCTTTTTAGTACGTATTCCATGTATAAAGGCGCAGCAGGGAGGAATCAAAGGAATCCCGAAAGATGGGCACAGGTGGGGACAGTTTGGCATGCACATTGTGTAGTGGGAACAAGAGAAGCAGCAACAGATCTCCGAGTGGAAAAAGTGTTACAATTCTTGTTTAGGAAGGCTAGCTAGACATAAATGTGGGCTACCTTCGAGGAGCTATGTTGCGTCGTACACTCAATAGTGCAAACTGAGGTTTGGGATTCCAAAAACGAGCAGATGGATTTGTATACCCCACGAGATTATGGAGCATGGTTAGCATAAATTAGTTATTTTTATGTAGTTTCTCTATTTTCCTTAAATAATCGTTAACAGACAGTGCAGTTTAATGTCATTACAATTTCGATGAAATAGACAAGCTATGTGAATAGAAGCATAGATTTAGGACACCCTTATGATGGTACAAGAGCGAGGGCCACCAGGTAAGAGCTGCTGCTCTCTAGAGGAGACATGGTGGACAATGGAGGCAAGAGCAAAGAAAGGCCCAAGGTGAGGAGTCCCTAGAAGAACGACTGAACCAAATGCAGCTCAAGCCGAACCGCTACAGCTAAGGCCGAGCAAATCACATGAGGGAAAATTGAAAAATAAAATTGCTCGAATCTATCCTTAAATCACACGAGGGACTTGAGATTCCATACCAAATCCTATAGACCAAACCATGCGGTGACAGGTAACCTTGAGAGTCATCTTTGGTGAATCTCATTCACCTTCTATTTCTATTTTTCTATACTTTTCTCTATCTTTTCTAGAGGGGTCAATCTCCTTTTATAGAGAACACATTTATTTTGTAACTCTCACATTTATGGTCTATAGGAGTTGAGATCCAAGTGTAACTCCTGCCTTAATTCCCTTAAGTGCAGCCAATTAGAATTAACAAGTTGTCACCAAACTGTTAATCTTATGTAATGAGCTAAACCTGTCATTAGTCCACTAATGAGACACATAATAGGATGTCATCCAAGTATTCTCATAATTTGATAAAAGATATTATAAATTAAATAAACTTTGTATATCTATAATATAAAAATAAATTATTACAAAGAATCCAATTCCAAACACACCACTTTCCATCCAGTGACACTGGGTTTTCCCTCAAGTGCAACATCCTATTAAAGCTAAAAAATGGATCCAAGTATATGACATGGCCTCATGTTAACCACATGGGATTTCACATATACTTCAATATGGCTTTTGTACCATTATTGAAAAAAATAAATTTTCGAGAGAAAAGGGCCTGATAGGCCACATTTCCAATGACTCCTACTTGGCCTGAAGGCCCTTTGACTTCTTGTACATGACATTGCCTCATGCTTTTCATATGAGATTTTCATATACCCAGCCAGTGTAGTCAAACACCACACTTAGATTTCTTGGCCTCCATAGCCATATATATGGCATTGCCCCATGCAATTTGCTTGGGATTTCACATATATCCTACCAATGTGGTCATACACCACACTTAGATTTCCTAGCCTCAACAACCTTGTATATGATATTGCCTCAAGCTACTTGTATAGGATTTCACATATACCCTGCCAATCTGGTCATACGCCACATTTAGATTTTCTGGCCTCAACAACTTTGTAAATGCCATTGCCTCATGCTACTTGCATGAGATTTCACATATACCCTGCCAAAGTGGTCATACACCACACTTGGATTTCTTGGCCTCAACAACCTTGTTTATGGCATTGCCTCATGCTACTTGCATGAGATTTCACATATACCCTGCCAATGTGGTCATATACCACACTTAGATTTTCTCTCCTCAACAACCTTGTATATAGCATTGCCTCACCGTACTTGCATGGGATTTCACATATACCCTGCCAAAGTGGTCATACACCACACTTGGATTTCCTCGCCTCAACAACCTTGTTTATGGCATTGCCTCATGCTACTTGCATGAGATTTCATATATATCCCACCAAAGTAGTCATACACCACACTTGGATTTCATGACCTCAACAACCTTGTATATGGCACTGCCTCATGCTACTTGCATGGGATTTCATATATACCCTGCAAATATGGTCATACACCATATTTTGATTTTTTGGCCTCAATAGTTTTGTACATGGCATTGCCTCATGCTACCTGCATGGGATTTCTCATATACCTTACCAATTATTCACCAACACGTTGGATTTTATTTACATCTATCTTTTAGCCAAGAGAAAAAAAAAGGCCCATTGCTTCCGCATGTTTCTCAAACACATCTACCACTGGTCTTTAAGTCCAAAGTACAGATTCGAATCATAGGTCAAAATAATAAGAACAATAATAATTTGACAAAGCTTTGGGTGTGGAGGTTCGAGTCCTCTTCAAGGCATTGAGAATGCCCATTGAATGAGCAATTCAATGACTTTCTTAATGTGCATTGATCACCATCGAGATAACAAATTCAATTCTAATTTGGTAATGATGATTTACTCCCACTATCCAATGAATAGCTATCAACAATATGATAATTCAATCTAACATGATACATCATTAAAGATTTTTAATGTTATGTGGATATACATAGAGCACTATAAGGTGCCAATAATTACTACATGTCAATGAAAAATAATAGCTTAGCATTGCATCTTCATAGGTACAATTTTAGTTTTCTAAATATAAAGAAGAATAGTAAGCACAATAAATAAAAATAAGTCACAACTAGGTTAAAAATAACGAACAACATGATTAATTCAAACCAAATATCCTAATAGGCTTACACTTTCCAAGGATATTGTAATGCATAATCTTGTAAAAAAATAAAGGAGAAAAAATATATTATCACAAATATACATATATTGTTGAACTTGGAATATTCATAAGCATTGATCACCATGAAATATTTCAAATCAAGTATTTTTTTACATAAATAGTTGTCTTGTCATAATATGTATAATCGCTAGTGGACTATATTAGAAATAAAAAAGTAAATAGTGAACACCAAATTTCTCTTTAGAACATAGCAAATGACAGAGTATATCTCTCTTTATGGCAACGGCTCTCTCTCTCTCTCTCAGGCAACGGCTCTCTCTCTCTCTATACAACGACTCTTTCTCTCTCTAAGGCAACTCTCTCTAAGGCAACGGCTCTCTCTCTCAGGCAACGGCTCTCTCTGTCTATATATTGCAACGGCTCTTTCTCTCTCTAAGGCAACGACTCTGTCTCAACGGCTCTCTCCTTCTCTCTATCCATTCCCTTTGCTTTACACAAAAGGCCTGGCTGCAACTCTTTCTCTCTCTCACTCAGAGCTTACTCTCTCTCTAAGTAGACGTCCCCATTAACAATCTACTGATCTACTCTCTTCTCTCTATCTCTCTCCGTATCTTGATCAGAAACCGATCCATCTCTCTCTGCATTTCTTGATCACAGAGCCAGCCAACATGCATCTTGTCAAATTTCTTCCTCCAGTTTGGCCCATAAGGCTTCATTCATCATTGATCAGAAATCCATTAGTCTTTTTTTTCTTCCTCTTTTGCAATCAAGAAAATGGTGAAGGGTACTTCAAGCGAAGATGACGAGCTCAACAATGAGAGCCACCCAAAAAGGAGTGTACTCATCTGGATCTCTGTTGCATTAGATTTTGGTTTTTCTGACAGGTGAAATGTTCAAGCATACGGTCATTTAACTTCTGTGATTTATGAGTGGCTGATGAGCAACCTCTGATTATTCTTTTAATCATCTTCAGGTTATATTGGTGAAGATAGAAATTCTCCTCTGGTAAGTTCAATTCCTTAGTGGGATGTTTATTTCCTACTCGTATTATAATTGAAAGATAGAGGGTGATTTAGTGTGTGCTTTTGATCTGGTTGCATTTTCTGGATGGAATAGCACTTTGATTTGATGTGCAGTGGTGTTTCAGAATGCTAGATTCCCTGGATTGGATCCATCGGTCTCTGATCGAGTTAAGAACCAGACATGGGTATTGTCTTTTTTGTAATGTATTTGATGAATTGCAGAATTTTAGGTAGCTTGGGCATAGACTCAAAAGATTTGAAATGTTTAGGTTTTAGGTTATTCAATAAATTGCTTTCGTGCCTTTTCTTCTTTTTAGGCTGTGAAGTCCAATCACATAATTCATGTCGATCAGAAATTAAGTTCACCGCTCACTAAGGTACAACTTCATGTTGAAATCCATTGGCTTTTGAAAATCATATTCTTGTGCGTAGATGCAGAAGGGTTGGAAAGAAAAATTAATCTCCTGTTGCTACTTTGCTAGTATAACTGCCTTAGTTTTTCATCTCTACAATGTCAAATGATGCTGCAAATATGGTAAAAATCAGGGCATGATAACTGCCATCATGACAATTCTATGCTTTATAGTTTATTTCAGTAAATTTCTGCATACTATAATGACAATTCTATGCTTTATAGCTTATTTCACAAAATTTCTGCATATTATAATGGGAAGGTTTTTTGGAGAAGTCGTTTAGCTATTTTTTCGTTCTTTTTTGCTAATTGTGAGCCCTTGTTTAGGGGGTTCCATGCACCATTTTTTGAGG